CAGTCTTGGTCAACAACTCTTTTTCCTAGCCGATCGTGAATACTTTTATTTTTTAAGCGCCGATCCATGTTATCATGATGATATACATCCTGGGCATGGATAGACCGGTGGTTGATCTAAGATTGCCTAAACTCTCAATATTGATTGCTGCATTTTGGACAGTCATGTCTGGTAGGCAACTTCAAACCTTCATTCCAGTAGTATCTGTAGAAAGGACAATTCCAGCGCGATTCGGCTTGCCTCCTTTCATACCTCTCTTCTTCTAGTTGACGCTGGTATTTTTGATCCTTTAACCATCGCTGATAATCCTTTTCCTTCTGCTGCTGCCATTTATTCAACAAGATTCGAGATGTAACTCGCGGCTTTGTTGCCCCATCCTTTGATGCTTCCCCCTGTTCATATCGGCTCTTTTGCTGATCACAACGTTTTCTAATCTCTCTGTATTCATCGGCCGATATTTGCATCTTGGGATCAACTGTTCTAGCTTCTCTTGATTTGGCCGATGTTAGAACCTTAGTTTTTCCTTTGAATAGCCCGACATCAACCATATTTTGATCTCCTGGAAAGGATTATCATCAACTTTCATCTTCCGAGGCGTATCAAACTTGAGCCTTCCTTGCTGAAAAGCTCTCTATATGTGCTGCTGGAAAATTCTGCATTCATTAGTGGAATGAAAGTAGCATTATGAAACTTACAGAGCTTTTTATTCTTTAATTGTTTAGGGGGCAACATAACATGATTGTCCGGCAATTTGATCTAGCCCTTCTCAAGTAAGAAGTCAAAGAGCTTGTCCGATTTTGTGACATCAAAGTCATAGCTCTCCTCGACTCCTCTTCCCCAAGGATTTGGTACCATCACTGTCTTCTTCTTCTTCATCATCATAGCCGTCATCGACTGAGTATAGATCATAAGCTTTGGCTACGGTGGTACTCTTCTAGAATCGGGTATCTCTGCGCATACTCTAGAATTGGCTATTGAGCGCTGCTACTCGTTGAGCCAACAGACTCTTGCCCTAGCAACTTTTCTCTCCACATTGGCAGCATTCCCTAGACGGCCAAAGCAGCTAACTGATCATCTACCAAGCTCAATGAGAAGCACAAGTTTCTAGTCTCTCGGAATCTCTGAAGAAACTCAGTGCCCAATTCGTTGTCCTCTGTCTCATAGTTGTCAAATTGGTTATCTTGTTTTTCCCAGTCCCAGTGTAGAAATATGTATGAAACTTCTTCTCTAAGTCAGCCCAATTGGCAATGGAGTTGACTGGTAGTGACAAAAACCAAGTGAAGGCTGCCCCTGACAGGGATAAGGAGAAGAAACAAACTCGATGGATATCCTCAACTGATGCTTCGCCCAATTGTGTAAGATACCGATTGATATGCTCTATCGTGCTTGTACTGTCTTGACCAGTGAACTTGGCAAACTCTGAGAGCCTGTAATTTATAGGAAGAGTGACCAAATCATACCACTCTAGATATGGGCATTTGTACGAAAAGGTAAGCCCTTTTGGCTTTAGGCCGAACTGATTCTTTATCATCTTGGTCACCTTCAGCAGCAACTCGTCAGCTTGCGGTTTTGGATTTCTCGGTACTTGCTGACCCATCTGTGGATTGAAATCCCGCGTGCCCTGATATCCTAGATTTGGCATCATGTGGAGAGTGTTATAATCTGTGCCATAGTCATACCCTTGTGGAATCTCAATCTGCTAGTTCTTCTGCTGGCTTACTGCTTGAAGTCTCTGATTGTAGACATAAGGATCTATATCTCTACGGATCCTTTGAATCGATGGTGCTATTTTTTTGAGTCGATTCTAGCATATTCATAAGAATAAATAGATTAAAGCTCATGGGATTGCATAAAAGAATCGATTATCATTTAGGATAAACATTATTTAAGCAAATATTAATCAATGGCAATAATATATCAATGATGATCGGTTTATACTAAGCCAATGATTATAAGTAACTGAACTCCTTTTATATAAAGAAACAATTTAACATCATTTGACCATCTGATAAAGATAAATCTGATGAACATGTTAGATCTCATCTATCGCCATGACCAGTGAGGCATGAGGCAGAATCATGCAAGCCATAGAAACAACAATAGAGTCGACGACCCTAACTCATTACTAATATCAGTGGGGCATGAGGCAGAATCATGCAGACCGTAATACAATAACAAGATCATAGAGCTAACATATCTTTCAACTTATCTCTACTTCAATGATCTCGTAATGTAAACTGTTCGTGAAAGAATTCGATATCGGCTAAACAGCCGATTCAGGCATAGTGCACAGTTAAGGTCATGCCTTCTCAGGAACAGGTCTACCAACTAACGATCCCCACTCCATGGTGCCAACAGTGGGGTGAGAGGCAGAATCCCACAGGCCGTGATGATGGACCATGGAACGGTTTTCATTAACTAATAGATCTACTCAAGATCGGACATGCCTTAATCGCACGCTATGCACGATTAAGATTGACACAAAACAACCGATAAAAACATAACTCATCGCTTAAGATGTAGATTAGATTAATTTTAGATTAGCAAACGATGAGTTAAACAAGATATAAGGCCGATCCAGATCAATCTCAATCGAGCAGAGTGATATTGTTGTAATTAGATAAATAATGAAAGCATTAAGCAATATCGGTAACTTAATGAATCTACCAAAGACTGCCATACTAAGGTAGAGCCGATAACTTGACCTTGATCTAATTCAAGCAGTGGGGTGTGAGGCAGAATCACACAGGCCATACTTGAATTAGACAAGAGTTGATAACTAGCCTATACCAGAGTCGCAGTGGGGGTCGATCGGATCGATGCAGCCATACGAACAGAGGTATAAACAATGACGGTACTTATAGACAAGCAGTGGAGGTTGACCGGATCGATGCAGCCGTACTTGTTGAAGAACTCGCCGAGATCTACTCTACTCCTACTCCTAAGGGGTGGCCGGAGCCAAAAAAAGTAAATTGACTTGTATTTGATTGGTTGATGCTCTACAATAGCTGGGGTTTGATATTTATACCCGGAGTCTAGATATGAATCCTACTCGAGCACGATTTGTTGCAATCTTTGGCATAAAAATAAAACTTTCCTAATTTAAGATAACTTGGACTCTAATCTTTCTCTTTTTATAGAGTCCAGTATGTCTCGTCCCAGCGCCGATCGTATCTTCTGTCGTTATCCGCTGGCACTATTTGAAGAAAGCCGATTCTAGTGCTGCATCCGAATCAGCTATTTTCGATCTACACGCAATTGATCCCTTGCTGACATGGTTTCGGGAGCTTTCGAGCCTCTGAAATCTTTCTTCCAAATTCTGGTGTGAACAGCTTGAACTCACAAATTCAATTTTTTCAGCATTGTCCACCTTCTATATGTGCACTCTGTCTTCTCAAGACTGTGGTTAAGTAGATTGATAAATTCCGAAAGCACTGCCTTTGGAGAGGGTCTGACCTCAATTCCCATAAACCCTCTAAAGCGGCATGGGAGATGGTCTGCAAGCCAAAGTTGAAGGTGGACTTGGTGTCACCAATCTGAGAACAGGTAATGAAGCACTTCTTTTCAAGCAGTGGCACAAGTTGCACTTCTTCTCAAGCAGTGGCACAAGTTTTTCAACAGAAGAGATCTCCCCTAGGTTAATTTGCTGTGGGACCATCACTACATAAACAATAATTTACCCAATCATGTCCGAAAAGGATCCTTCTGGTGGCGAGACATGCTTCAGTTACTATAAAGGTTTGGCGTCAGTTGCGCTTCAAGATGTCGAACTAGTAATTTCTGGCATGACCTTTGGGGAAATCAGGTTCCCAAGCAATAGTACCTGGAGCACTTTTCTTTTGTCAAGAACCAGAACATTGCCTTTCAACTAGCAACAGAAGCTGTACATCAGCTAGCTACGTACTCTTTTTCACCTCCCACTCTCTGAGCTGAACTAGCTTTTGAGCAATGGCTTGAGCTGTAAACAATCATGGCACAATTCACTTTGAATGACAGTCCAAATCAATGGATTTAATTACATATGGGATCTTCTCTTTTTTCTTGCAATATAAAACCTACAAGTCAATTATGGGCCATGCTGACACACCAATTATTTTCTCATGGTTGTGGAAATGCTCTTGCTAACCAAAACATAAGGTTTTATTCTGGCTTCTCTTAAAAGACCGGTTTAGCATAAGGAATTTGTTGAAATGGAGGAATATGGCGTTACAATCTTATACTTGTGTTCTCTGTGCTGCTGATACCGGAGAGTACCATCTCTCTCTCCACTGTCCTTTTGCTCGTACCTGCTGGAACTTTGTTGATGTTCAAGTTGATGGCAACCTTCTTTTAGCAATACAAGACCTTTAAAGACAAGTTACGAGTTCCTTTCTTCATGGAGATTATTATATTTCTCTGCTGGAGTATCTGGATAGTTCGTAATAATGTCATTTTCCAAAGAGTTGTACCCATAGTGGAGTAAGCAGAATATGCCTTTCTGAAGGAGTTTGCCATGGTTATCCATCGGGTAAAGCAGAAATATTTCCCCTTTATTAGCCTATGGCTGAATCTCAATTGTAATGTTTCTCATTTTTCTTCCTCGCTTTCTTCGTTTCTTAGCTTCGCTTGCTTTGTACTGTTGTTCTTTTTTTAATAAAAAAATTCAGTAGGGGTGTTCTACCCCTTTTGTTTGGCTCAAAAATAGCTATTTGCTATATTTGCTATGCCATTCACTTGAGGGTCCGCCCTTTGTGTCCATTCTAGTTTGAGACATGGAGGGTGGAAGATTTCTAGTGTTAATTAACAATAGAGAATTATAAACCATGAACATATTTTTTAAGAAAAGGTAGATTATTTTTGTGAAAGAAACCCCATATTCTGGAAGGCATTCCAAGCTTTACGGGTGAGCGCGACACTGACGCGTGGCCCCCACCTCCGCTTTCCCCTTCCTCCCAAACCTCTAGACTAGAAACCCCCGCAATCGCCGGCCGTCCAGGAACCCAACCGCCGCCGCCGCCGCCATGGCCACTGCCGGAGCCTTCCACGCCGGCGGTCGCCTCCTCCTCCCGCTCCGACACAGCCCCCGCGGGCCCAGCCCCTCACCATGGTCCCACTTCCGCACCCACCTCATCTCCTCCAAGCCGCCGCCCTCCGTCCCTCTCCCGCCGCCCGTGCCGCCGGCGCGCCCGTCCCCCGTGGGGTCCGCGTCCGCATTTGGGTCTCCTAGCAGAAAGGCCGGCGCGGTCGGGGCCGGGGCTGGCGCGGGTGTCGTCGGGTGGTACCTTGGCCTGCTGGACGCGCGGCCCGCGCTGACCAAGAGCGTCACCGCCGCTGCCATCTTCACCGCCGCGGACCTCTCCTCCCAGGTCGGGATCTTCTCCTGTCCCGGCTCGCTAGTAAAATGTAACCTTCTTCGCCCGATATCGTGGAAACAGGAAATTGATCGATGGATTCCACGTGGTAGAATTTGTGCTACATTGTCAATTTATCATCGTATAGGACGCGATGCGATATATTTTAAACTGATGTTGTAATTGATGTCATAGTTGTGTTGGTGATCCTTTATAAGTTGTGTAATCATTTCAATTGTTAGTACCATTATAACCCGAAAGATATATGCAACCAGGTGCATCGTTCTGAAAGTTTTCCTTCATTTACACGTCTGTTTGCTGTTTAGGGGACAGACATTTTAAATATGTGGTTGGCCAAGCTGATCTACTGTTTATGTATGCCATTTCAATGAATTGATCTATAGCCTTCATAATATAAGTCCAACCATTTTCAGTTTATCCAAACCCTGAAGGGAATGGGCTATCGGCTATTTCAGCACTTCTGTAGTCAGGGGTCTTATGTTTGTTAGCCCTATAATATTTAGCTTGATAATTTGTCTCTTGGTGCCCCCTGGATGGGACCAAAGTTCAAAAAGGCGTGACGCCTTAGGCGCGACTAGTCGCTAGTCGATGGGTTCCCGCCTGGCCTATGGGGGTAGGCGGACATCCAGGTGCAAGGCGGCGCTAGGCGGCGATTCGGCGGGCTAGGCGGCGCGGAGGTGCGAACGCGAGGAAAATTGCCGCAGTGGGAGGTCGCCGGTGGGGGAGGAGGAGCTGCGAGCGGCGGCAGGCACATGCGTGTGTGGACAGCGGCGGGCGCGCACTAGAGCAGAGAGAGAGAGATGCTGGAGAGGAGAGGAAGAGGAATCGGTGGCGGCGGTGGCTGATGCGGGAGGAAGCGGATGCGGCTTGCGGCGTCGAGAGGATGCGGGAGACCAAGATGCGGCGTCATGCGGGAGACGCATAGATGGATAAGGTTGGAGATATGGAGTGGGATAAGGATGGAATAGTAGGCTGGACTGTTGCCTCTTAGGTCTTTCTATCTCTCTAAGCCAGCCTTTCTATCTCTCTAAGCCCACTATTCAGCTGTTTATTTTTTCTTTTAGAAGGGCGGGCCTGGTGCAAGCGGTAGAGTCTTACCGCATGTGACCGGAAGGTCCCGGGTTCGAGTCGCGGTCTCTTCGCATTGCACATGCGAGGGTAAGGCTTGCCACTAACACCCTTCCCCAGACCCCGCATAGAGCGGGAGCTCTCTGCACTAGGTACACCCTTTTTTTTAATATAAATATATGTATATTAGTATATATACAAAACGTCTAGAAAACGCCTTGGAACGCCTAGGCTAGCCTAGGCTGGCCTAGGCGCTAGGCTAAGGGTCAGCGCCTAGAAAGCGCCTAGCGCCTTCTTGAACTTTGGATGGGACTTTTCACTGCTATTTATGCTGGCTATTACAATTAGATGTTGCTTCTAACACACTTTCATTTGCTTTTGCTATTGCGTTGTCAGATGCTCACGCTTGGTCCTGAGGATTCACTCGATTTTCTTAGGACCATGCGTATGGCTAGTTATGGGTTTCTGATCTCAGGACCTACCCTCCACCTTTGGTTCAATTTTATCTCAAAATTGTTTCCCAAAAAGGATGTGGTGAACACATTGAAGAAGATGTTTCTAGGGCAAGCAGTCTATGGACCAATTATTAACTCAGTGTTCTTCTCGTATAATGCAGGATTACAAGGTACTATTGCTTACATGCCTCCATATATACATTCTTCTGGCCTTCTAGTTCTGATTGAGTTGCACAAAATCGTTTGTTGAATTTCAGTACTCCCTCTGTTCATTTTTCTAGTGTACCTTGACTCTGCAAAATCATTCTTTGACCACAAGTTATTTCTGCAATAGTTTATTAGTAGTTAAAAATCATAATTATTGACAAGTGCTTTTGAATACTAATCCAATTTTATCAATTTTGTGGCACATAACTTATATATTATTAGACTTTGGTCAAAGCATGAATTTGGACAGTCAGACCATGCTTTGCGTGAGTACTTATTTATTGGGCATGCTTCTGTTACCGTATTTTGTTGCATTGCCCTATTGACTCCACCTATGCTGTTTACTATGCTGACAATTACTCTGTTTTGGTGATGCATTAATAGAAATGATTATACAGCATGCTTGATCTGCATTTTCTCCTAAGTTTTATCTGTGTATGACTTCTATTTTATTATCGTAAAAAAGCTAATAATATGGAGTTCAGTTGGCACTAGTTGCTGAGTCCTCAAATTCTTAAAGACTCCTTCACTGCTCCAAAAAGAAACAACTATATTCCTTCTATTTGATTATCTGTAAACACATGAATGGATCTATTTACTATAATCTTGTTATCAAAGTGGTCCAGTGATAAAAATAGCACATCAGTGATACAGTGTGTTCCTGTTTCATATGATTCTTGTGAGATGCAACTATCAATGTACTGGGTACAAACTACTGGCTGGTGGCTGCACATGGTAGCATTTATTATTCTGTCTGTATTATGTGAAGGAAAGGAAGATATCCATCTGTAAGCAGGCTTGCACTTCTGTTAAAATATGGATCCCTTTCGTAATGAGTGCAAGCATTCTATTGTGTTAGCATATTTGATCTGATCTTATTAGTTCAAAATATTATCTTAATAGTTATTTCCTACTTCAATCTTGGTGGGCAGATGACTAATGTGTTCAAAGTTATATATGTTGACACCTTTTATGTTGATTGATTTTTATTTTTTTGGTATACAATGCAAGAATCATTCTGAAAAGTTCGACTAGATAACTCTTAGAATCAAACTTCTGCACTCTAGTGTTTTCCTATTCTTTGCTTGCCTTGCTACCCAATGCACTCTGAGGCTTTGTAGATGTAATTAAGGCAGCCAAAGGCACAACTTTGTAGGCTATTTAGAAATTAATATATCTGAATGTTTGAGACACATAAACTAACTTGCATCAAACTCACTGTAGTGTTGAAGGTTTGGCTGTTGCAAATACCTGGCCATTTATACTTCCAGTGTTTTATAGAAGAACAAAAATCCTTACCTGGTTATCAAATGTATTAGTGAGGATGGCAGTAACCAACTTTTAGTTCATAAGTTGCAGTATGAAAAACATAAAAATTATGGTACAATCAGTGCACTTTCCTCAAACATCACTTCAATGCCTTTTAGAGTTAGGATTCTTTCATTTCTCAGTATGTTTGATTGACTATCCATGTCAGTGAGGTGTAGATATTTTAAACTTACAAGGGGATGTTGTGTATAAGATACTAAAAAGCAATATTTTGTTTTCTCGTGTTTACTTTTCAAGATAAGTTAAATAAACCAACCCACTACTATCTCTGAGTCATAGTTTTATCAAATAAGTGCTCTGATTTCTACTGGAAAACTGCAGTCTGTCCATAAGGAGCCTGTGTTGATTTGTTTTGATCCTTAGCTGCATTAACTAATTTGACTGTCATCCAACATAGTTAAAACACTCACACAAGGCTATAGCTTTCTTGGTGAACATTGTGATGTGAATGTTTCGAGTATTTCTATTGCCACGTACTTGCCTTGATGTGATTTAATCTTCTTGTACAGCTAATGGTTGATGCTGTTTGCATTTAGTCATTTCAATTTAGTTTTGGTAAAGTCTATGACCCATGGTATCATGGACCACAGTACTACTGGTCTGAGGATAACGTTGCATGTAGTAAACATCTAGTCACTTTGTACTGTTGAGCATGATATGAGAAACGGCATTCAGATAAGCTTACATGCAGTACACCCTCCCCACCAACTTTAGCGATCTGAAACCTTTCTGTTGCAAACTATTCTGGTATGCAGTCTCACACGCTATTTAATGGCTTTTCTGATCTGATACGCAGGTGAGACTGTTCCTGAGATCATTGCAAGATTGAAGAGGGATCTAGTTCCCACCATCAAAAGTGGGCTTTTATATTGGCCAACTTGTGATTTCATTACTTTCAAGTTTGTTCCAGTTCATTTACAGGTAATTAAACCTGATGCATTCTATCTGCTTGGCTCAAAGCTTGTTTGGCAGCATTTCTAACCTGATTTTTTTTTCCCAGCCGCTAGTGAGCAATTCATTCTCATTTCTTTGGACCATCTACATAACATATATGGCCAGCTTAAAGAAAGCAGATGTGGAGGTGGCCACGAGTACCTAGCTGTTGTCAAATTACTCAACATGGCTGTTATCTGTCGATTCTTTGTACAAGGCGGACTTAATGGATGTCTCTTGGAACTAGGATGTTATCTGTTGTTTTATCGACCGATGATTTTAGGCTTTAGAGAGATGGATTGCTTCCAATGCATCCTTCACTTTTGGTTAGGGTATAGTGTCCACAGGGATTCTACTTGCCTATGTTTTTGGCTGAAGATCATTTTGTCTGGATGATCAAATTATACTAGGTCCATTGGTCTTCTATGATATCTTTCTACGGTCTTTGATCCTATGGGTCAAAAGTACATTTACTTAAACTAAATTCTCTGTATCTAGATGTAAGTGAACCTGTTCTTTGCCACACAATAATAAAAGACACGATTTGATCCTTTCTCATTTGGTTCATTTTAGTTTGCCCATAAATGCTTCATTTTCTTCGTTTGAGCTCACTCCTACTGCAATGAAATCATAATATACAGGCAGCAATGCACTTGCTTTTGTTTGAGCTTTTTGAGTCCTGGGGCACTCTCATGCCAACCCTATCTAATGCTTCACGCCATCTTGAGACTTAAACATTGATAGCGCCAAGGAGACTGCATGACCTGATCATCATGCCTATTGCTCTCATTCTGGAACCTTAGATTTGTTACATTGGAGTTGGGCATGAATCTCTGCCCTGACTCTGATTCTGCAGATGTCGATGACGACATCGTTGCTTCGGAGTCTGAATTGGATGGCTTCTCCTGCTTCGTCCTTCCAGCCCCAGTTGCCAGTGTCAGCTCCAGGTTGAAGTCTTCGGCCAACTTGGCCTCCGTCTTGCCTGAGCTACCACACCATTGTTGGTGCTCGAGTTTTACTGTCGGTTCGGTTTGCGTTTCGGGAACTTTGTTTCCGTAGTTGTTTGTCTTGGTAATCTGCATCTGCATCATCAGCTGCTTCTGAACCTGGTACACGCGGTGCAGCTCGTGAACCTGAAGAAGAGAGCATCGAACAATTTCAGCATTATGAAGTCTATGGATACTGCTCTACTTGTGAGCAGGAAGTTCTGGTAACATGGTTTACCTGCTGCCTGAATGTTTGTTCTTGCCTCAGCATGGCCATCTTGATGTGTTCCTTCTCCATCCTTATCTCTGCCCGCTCCACACACAAGTATCAGCTCGCTGGGCTGGACTGTGTCTGCAACAAGTAGAAATGGATGTGAGATGCTAACACATTTGTCTGTCTCTCTGATGGTAACAATTTCTAGTGGTCAACTAAATAAGTTACTGAATGTTTTTACTCACCTTTGATTTGAAGAACTCTTCCCTGTCAGATAGGGTACATGGTACGATGGGGCATTTAATTTGTTGTAGTAATAAGTTGAATGGGTATCCAAAGATATCATAATAAATGTGGTGCTACATTGTTGTAGTTACATGCAATCTAAGCATCAATTGACAATTTGTCCTATGTGCTTGTACACCTGCAAGTGCACTGCTTCTGAGAATGGCTCAAAATTCTGAAGAAGAATATGGAAGCAGCCGTAGACTCTATTGGACTTGATATCATTCTGGGTCATATGACAGAAAAGGAGTTTTCATTTTTGTTACTTCTCTTTAGCTGAAACAGTGATAGATTTGTATAGAAGCAGAGAAGCATTTTTTTAGGGCGAATCAAAGGTGAGATTTTCAAGGTTTCATTTCTTATGGATCTTGTACTCTCATTGCTCTGTTATTCCATAATAAACAAATATTTCCGGTTTGGCAGTCTGCGCTTTCGGCAAGTAACCTAACGTTGTCCTCCACGGGCATAATGGTACAGAAGCAGAAACTTTTCTCCACATCTTTCTGCCTAAAATAAAATGAAAGCTAACAAAAAAGTACACACTTATAGTGTACTGACGTTAAATTCTTGCTGAAAGAATTCTGGAAGAAGAAAGGGGAAGATGATATATGTATCATAATTCTACAGTTCCTCAAAAAAAAATGTATCATAATTCTACATCGTTATGTTTTCCCAACAAAATTATGCCTGCATGTCTTCCTGAGAAACAAGCTACTGATAAACTCGATCCTGGAGGAAACTCTGGAAAGAGTAGAGAGTTGAAGAACAAGTTTAGGAACACCTCTGGTTTCTTTCTTTACAAACTGAAACAACAATAGACTTTCTGAACAACTGCTCCTTGATCATGAATGAAAATTACAAAAACACGACGACTGGTCAATAACTTGACGATGGCATGCATGCAAAACAAGAAGCAAGAGTAGAGAGTTGACGATGGCAACAAGGATCAAGAGCGAAATAAAACGAGGCAAGAGCATGGAAGATCACACAGGGGCCTTGAGCTCACCTCTGCCTCAGGAGCTCCCACTGCTGAAGTGCTGATTCCTCTGACGATGAAGCTGTGTTGGGCACCTCTCACAGGAGGGGGAAGATCTCCTGGTAGTGGTAGCTACTGCTAGGCCAAAGGCACAGCAGTTTTTGGCCCTACTGAGAAGCAACAGGCCGCAGGATTTGCATGTGTATCAAATCTGGTGAGGCAGGAGGGGGGAGGGGGAGGGGAGGGATTTAAGATTCTCTCCTCTGTCATTAGTTTTACTGTCATGGTGGGCCCCCCTGTGGGCATGCCAAACAAATCCATGTCATTTAGGCCAATGGAGTTCATATGTGATAAAGGCTCCCAAGATGCTTCTATGTAGTGCCAATAAAAGGATAGGACCAAGATAAGAAGCCCCAGCTATTATATTCTTCCTTCTTGCAACACTGAAATTCTTATGCGCCCCCCACTCCAGTTCTACAAACCGTCATGATTCTAATTTTAGCTGTTGTTCTGTTGCTGTATATATAACTTGAAATATATATGTTTATAGCACAAGCGCTTAATTAATGATCTGCTCAGGTTGATATATGCGGGGTTTAGCTCTCTGTGTGTAGTTGGTGCCTCTCCATGGGGTTTGTGTAGCCATGCCAGTTTTCAATGTTATTGCTGGATCAGCACATCAGAAGGGAGCACTGAACAGATAACTAGGCATGCGATGTTTTTGGATCTCATGCTCACATGTTCACTGGATTAAGATTATCAACACCAGTTGTCGCAAATAATGTATGTATGCACTTACATTACTGTCATTCAAAGTCAGAGGGTCATCTATCTTAGCAAGGTTATTAGCACCACATGATTGAGATAGCATGAGCAAAGTAAGCACGAGACCTTACCATTTTTACCATGTTATGTAGTAATATCTTTTTATTACAGTGGTCAGTGGATCTGTACCAGCAAAACCTAGATCCAGCAGTCAATCGATCCTGACCAGATTCAGAATTGAAGTTGGATCTTGTGTTGGCTTCATATGCAGGCCGGCGTCGCTCTAGATTGCGTAATGTGATTGGATGATGAGTTATGTGGAGTGGTTGGTAACAATAACATGTGTTGGCCTGCTGGTCCTACCCACCCCCCCCAAGATTTCGGCGATGCAATGCAAGCAACAAACTGCTCATTCTCACTGGGGATTTGGAGTTATTCCAGGGATTGGGACAAGTCAGGGCCTGAAAAATCCAGGCCTATATGATTAGTTCCAGACCATATTGTCAGCCCTGTCATTTTCCTTCTCATTGCCATCGGATGCAGGTCTCTGTCACCTCCTCCCCTCCCCAAGCTAGCTGGATGTATCTTGTAGATGCTTGTAGACTACTTGACCTTTGGTTAAGAGGACGTGTGGTTTTCTTTCATGGAGTACTTCGGTTGTTCACAGCCACAATATAATTCTAGTTGTCTTTTTTTTTGTGCCAAGGTAGTTGCCTGTATTATTTGAAGCACTGTTCTTTCTTTGTTAGTTGTTATTGCTTGGTACAACATCCATATGCGTGTGGTTAATTTACAGAGTTGTATTTTTTACCTAGTTTCTTTACTAGTTCGAGAACTATTATTGACAATGGTAGTTTAGATTCGAGCTTACTCCTGCACATGAAATTCTCAGTTTAAGTAACTGCACAAGGACTGAATGTTTAAGCCAACTTTTTTTTTGAAACTTGTGAAGTGCAGTTTACCCTGGCATATAAAGCATTTTGTGCCGCTGAGCCCCTACAGAGATGCCAATTTCTGGGGGCAAAGTTAAACATTTTATCTTTTTTTATATGGGGTTAGGTGGCACAAAACACATTTTTATATTATTGATTTATTCGGTAATTGTCAGGTACTTGCATAGAAAAAAGTTGTTACAAGCAAATAACAACTCCCTGCCAGATACTACATACGAGACAAGTATCGCTCGTCAGTCCAAGCGGAATCAAGTTTTTTCAGAAATTTAATTTACTTTTGCAAGATATATTATATATTGTCGAGCTCAATTCTCTATCAATATTTTTCCACAATCAAATTTCTAGCAGTCCCTCTCAAAACACCTGGAATGTGGAAATCATGCCCTCGTCAACCAAAGATTTGACACGTGTGGATGGGTTTAAGTTTTTTTAAAAAAAAATCACAGAAAATATAGTTGTGAAAAGCCTTCAAAAAGGGTAGACGGTGATGATGTTTTCTTCGAATATAAGGCTTCCGGAAAAAGGGTTAATTTTGGCAAGTTCAATAGTTTCCGGTCATCTTATATAATATAAACAAGTCTACCAACATGTCTAGATATAATAATAGCCAGTAAAACATAAAGATCCAACCAAAAGAAAAGAGAGTTTAAGGTTCAATCCTAAGTAAAGAGAGGACTGAATTGCCATCTAAGCATAGCTTATGTTCTTTACGGTGGAATTTACTGCCTCAATTCTATAAAAAGTGTCGTTCTCACTTTCCGAGAAGTGAGACATTTCTAACTTTGACTAAACATGTATAAGAAAATGTTAATATTTATAGTGCATAACTAGTACCATTAGATACTTTTATAATAAACTTATTTGGAGATTTGAACGTTATATTATAAATCTAGTCAAACTTAAGAAAGTTTGATCAACACGAATCTCATTTTTTCGAAGGTGCTCATATATAGGGGTGGAGTATATGTGCATGTATTTATAAGGGTG